TTACCCAGGCTGGAGTGCAATGGCGCGATCTCGGCTCACTGCAACCTCCGCCTCCTGGGTTCAGGCAATTCTCCTGCCTCAGCCTGCTGAGTAGCTGGGATTACAGGCACGCGTCACCATGCCCAGCTAATTTTTTGTATTTTTAGTAGAGACGGGGTTTCACCGTGTTGACCAGGGTGGTCTCGATTTCTTGACCTCGTGATCCACCCGCCTTGGCCTCCCAAAGTGCTGGGATTACAGGCTTGAGCTACCGCACCGGTTTTCTAGGTATACAGTCATACCGTTGGCAAACAGAGATGGTGTAATTTACTCTTTCCCAATTTGAATGCCCTTTATTTTTTCTCTTGCCTGATTGCTCTGGCTAGGGCTTCTGGTGCTTTGTTGAGTAGAAGTGGTGAAAGTGGGCATCCTTGTTTTGTTCCAGTTCTGAAGGGCAATGGTTTCAGCTTTTCCCCTTCAGTATGATGTTGGCTGTGGATCTGTCATATATAGCTTTTATTATTTTGAAGTATGTTCCTTTTATCCCTAGTTTGTTGATAATTTTTATCATAAAGGTGGCTGGATTTTATTGAATGCTTTTTCTGCATCTATTGAGAGGATTTTTGTTTTTTTAAAATTCTGTTTATATAATGTATCACATTTATTGACTTGCATATGTTAAACCATCCCTGCATCCTGGATGAAACCCATTTGAATCAATGAATTATCTTTTTGACGTTCTGTTGGATTCAGTTTACTAGTATTTTGTTGACAATTTTTATATCTGTGTTGATTTAATGATATTGTTCTGTAGTTTTCTTTTCTTTTTTCTCTTTTTTGTTATGTCCTTTCCTGGTTTTGGTATCAGGGTGATACTGGTGTCATAGAATGAGTTATAGAGGATGCCCTCTTTCTAAATCTTTTGGAATAGTTTCAGCAGATTGGTACCAGTTCTTCTTTGAATGTCTGGTACAATTCAGCTGTGAATCTATCTGGCCCTGAGCTTTTTTTTTTCCCCAATTAAAAAATTACTGATTCAATCTTGCTACTTGTGGTTGGTCTGTTCAGGATTTCTATTTCTTCCTGATTCAAGTTAGAAGGATTGTATGTTTCCAGGAATTTGTCCATTTCCTCTAGATTTTCTAGATTGTGTGCATGAAGGTGTTCGTGGTAGTCTTGAGTGATCTTTTATATTTCTGTTGCTTACAGTGTCTCCATTTTCATTTCTAATTGTGTTTACTTAAATCTTTTCCTGGTTAATCTAGCTAATCATCGATTTTATCTTTTCAAGAAACCAAGTTTTTGTTTCCTTGATCTTTTGTATTTTTTTGTTTGTTTCAGTTTCATTTAGTTCTGCTCTAATGAGAATCTCTTTGTTATTTCTTTCATTCTGCCAGCTTTGGTTCTTGTTTCTCTAGTTCCTTGAGGTATTATGTTAGATTGTCAGTTTGTGATCTTTCTTACTTTTTGGTGGAGGCATTTAGTGCTATAAACTTAACTCATAGCACTGCTCTTGCTGTATCCCGGAGGTTTTGATGATGTGTGTCACTATTATCATTCATTTTGAAATATTTCTTAATATTCATCTTGATTTCGTTGTTAACCTAAAAGTCACTCAAGAGTAGGTTGTTTAATGTTTGTGTATTTATATAGTTTTGAGAATTCCTTTTGGAGATGATTTCTACTTTTATTCCACTGTGGTCTGAGAAGATACTTGGTATGATTTTGATTTTTAAAAATTTATTGACATTTATTTTGTGGCCTATCATATGGTGTGTCTTGGAGAATGGTCCATGTTCTGATGAGAAGAATGTATATTCTGCAGTTCTTGGGTGGGATTTTGTGGGAATATATTAGTTTCATTTGTTCTAGAGTATACTTTAAGCTTGATATTTCTTAGTTGAGTTTCT